GCTCGTGGATCATAGTCGGACGCATTTAGCAGCTAATGAGCCAGAATTTTCCCTCAAGAGTTGGTAGAGACCGGAAATTAAGCTAAAAGAGTGAATATTGATTGTAAATGAATGCTGATATTGCTCTGTAACTGCTGGATGTGTAAATTAGGGCTGTCCCTCACTAAAGATTTTCCTAGTCGATTGGTTGAACATTTATGATATTATTTTAATTATTTACATAGATATATTTTAACAGCCTGTTAACGACTGGAAAAAGTAATGCGGATTCTGAATGTGTCATAACAACCATCAAGGACAACAAATTAACTTGCTACAAACTCGCTCCTCTTCCTCAGTTTCACCACTCTCCTGAACCCACCGTGTCTTCATCTCCAGAATAGTCCTGATCAGAGCTGCTGTAAATCAACTGGCTGTGTTTAAACCCTGCTCCTTCCTGTTCCCAGTCCGGGTATAGTCAGCCAGTCAGCTAATAGGACACTAACTAGCTAGTGGCAGTGCTTAGTACAGTTAGCAAATGCAACAGTGCACCAGTAAGTGACTCCCTGTGTTAGAAGGGAAACCGTCCATGTTGTGCCAATCCCCTTTCACTTTGATTTTAGTTTTGATTTTGGTCTAAATATCTCGTTCTTTAGCTGCTAACTTTGTTTTTTTGCTGTTTGGTCCTTTTTGCTCATAACAGTTGACGTCTTTAAAATGAAACACTAAAATTTCAACTGATTGTGAAACAGTTTTGCCGCTACTTTTTAAAACTTTGCTGACCACTTAAGTTTAAATTCAACTTGTGAATATTGACATGTTGGCGAGGCACTCTTGGATGCACCATTAGTTTGGTTCCTGTGAGTAACTATATTATGGAGCAGAGGATCCAGCCCATGAACTGGGACACTGCTTGTGTCTTTCTGTCCCCTCCAATACTTCCATGCCTCTCTCTGGTGTCTGCGCACTAGTAATGAGCTTCCCCTTTGCACCAAGAGCCCTGGTTAAAGAAGCTTGTTGGTTCCCTTTCTGAAATGCACTGGAGCTTGGGGGACAGAGACTGTCATTAAGTGCTCCTCTCTGGAGAAGTTCTCCACAGATCTCATTACCCTTCTCAGGTAAACGCACAGATGCACTTCACTATGTGCTCTATATCATTCCCCCTGTCTCTCTCTGCCTCTCTCTGTCACAAATACATGCTCACATGTGCAAACATGTCAAGAATTGGTGCAAATCTGAGTTTTCACACAAACACATTAATCCATGTTGCCATCTGGAAGTGTGATTTGCAACAATCCAAAGCAACATTTGCCTAAAAATATAATCATGTTTTCAAAATGGGAATATCCGTGTTTCGCTAAAGGCATGTGAGAGCATAAATAAACATGAGTAGAAACACACACTCCACATCTCTCACGACCTCACTCTCAGCATCTGCATTCTGGTAAATATGTTAACCCGTTAAGTGACCGCGTGTTCCCATCTGGTGTAAAGATCATTTTGAGATCAGATGAAGGAAGAAATATATTATAGAAGCGCTGGGATTAGAGCAGAGGGGATTGATGAAAGGAGGACTGGCTTATATAAAGTAGCATCCACTCTTCTCTCTGATGTTCCCTTTATTCACTTTCTGTTCCCTTGAATCAGTAGGCGGGGACGTTTTATTGGCTTGCGTGTAGCTGTATGTGTATGTCTGCAGCATGTAAGCATAGTATTTATGCCACAGGGAACCCTTCGAATGCTCAGCTACTTTTTACAATCGTCTGATAAACATTTTACATACAGTTACTCAATGGTGATCAGCTGTTCACTTTTAATTGCCAAAAGAAGTGTTCCAGGGAATTGCTCATATGAATGCCTTTAAAAGGTGTGAGCCAATTTGCAGCAGTCAGCAGAGTGCTAGTAGTAGTGGAGGCATGTGGTCCATCTGGCAGCTCATTTCTGTCATGTTTTGAAAATTCACTGACTTTGATCATAGATCAGGGTCAGCTGAATATATAACAGACTTTGCTGCCAAAATGAAAAAAAATATATTTGCTATAGGTGACTGAGTAAATCAAGAAGAAACATGGGATGTGCCTGGGTAAACTTATGAATTATTTGTGATTTATTAACCCTTACAGTTCTTCACCAAAAACACTGTTCTTGTGCTACTTGCATGCACCATTTTCAGGATAACCAGGGCTGATTGAAAATGAACAACTATTAGATGTGAATAACTGCATTCCACATGTGAATCAGAGTGTCAAATGTGAAAGCTCATTTCAGAACAGTAATTAAAGTCATTCAACTAATCCCTAAAATCTGTAAAGTTTTAGTATAACTGTTAGCAACTATGGGCTTACAATAGACTCAAAACCAATAAACAAAATAGCAGCTTTAATCAAAGAACTTTTTTTCAAGTTTTAGTGAGCGATGTCACTAATCTTTCTGGCACGCACACTCTTCAAACAGTATAACAACTTGTAAAAAAAGGGTTACATCCAAGCATAATAGCTCATTTTGCATATAAGTACCAGAGCCATTGATAAATGGACCGATGGCAAGATACACCAGTCTGTTCATGGGAAACACCGGCATCCATACTTTTGAGTGAATCCATAGACGATCTAATTAAAATGTGCTTTTTCAAAAGCAGACTGGCACAACTAGAATATGCGATTCAAATATGCTAATAATGTGCCCCCATACATGTTTTATTTGTGTAACTCATTTGTATTTTTCAACTTTACAGTCACTTACATGCTTACTTATCTTCCCAGTACTCCCCAATATCATGTCTCTGTTTTTCTTTCTCCCTCACACTGCGTCTTGCTCTCTTGCTCACCTTGTATCTCTATCTTTCTTCTCTCTCTAAGAGTACGTGTGTGTGTGTGTGTGTGTGTGTGTGAGTCCAGTATTCTTTTGGGCTTTTCTCTCCTGATGATCTCCTCTCGTCCTCAGTGGAGCAGGCTTAATTACAGTGTTGCTCTCTGCGCTCTGCTTGGTGCTGATTAAAAGGGACACTGACGCTCCATAGGGAAAGCCTGACTGGGAGTTTGTTCACTTTCATGCACACTCTGCTTATCGCTGTCTGACCAGCTCCATTACCATGGCTTTGAGGCCCAGTTTGTAATTGCCTCTCTTTATTACTGTGCCTACATGTCAAGCCAGGGAACAAGGACCCGCCGCATCAATGGAGAGTCTGTGTGGCAAGCGAGGAATGCACACACACACACACTTGATCTCATGTGCAGAGTGTGAATGTGAATGCGAAGACAGAGGCCATGCGCAAACTAAAGCATTTTGAAAGCAAGCTAGTGTCGGGCCGAGAACAGTTGACCTAATAAAATAGAGGCCATCGAACACTCACACATGAAAAGCCTGACTTAGGCTGATACGGTCAACAAACTAAAGGTTTTGCACTTCTTTTATGAGTCTTGCCTATAATTATAAGGTTCATGTATTATAATTGGGTGCCACTTTCAAAAAGGTGCCCTTTATAAGTGTGGTTTATAACTTGTAACAAATGCCTTTATTAATAGTTAAACAAGGCTAAGAGTCTACAGCCATGTTAGCAGCTCTATGAAGCTTACTTAATGGGCCGGTATACCCTGTCAGAACTGCTTGTCAGATGGTCAAATATCTGCGGAATCCCCCTTCCTCCACACCTTTCAGATTGAGGGAGGCTATGTCATACCATTTTTGTAACCTCCCAGAACCGACAATCCGACATTCACACTCATTTCACGCTGATTGGCCAGCTGAATGGTGGTGAGAAAAGAGCCAGGGTCTTAACTTCTGTTTCCAGCTATTTTTTTCATTTCTCATTCAGCAATTTTTCACTTGAAAAGTTGTTCAGTTTTCATGTGAACAACTGAGTGCTACTGAAAACATGCCCCATATCCTGGCCCTTAGGCACAGCAGTGCTTGGAGCTAAATATGGTAACATCCGAATGCCAACATGCTTCCAGTGACAGTGCTTGCATATTGATGGTTCACAGGGAGAACGTTTACCACGTTAATTGTCTTAGTTTAGCGTGTTAGCATGCTAACATTAGCTTTAAACACAGATTACATCTGAAGCTGTCTAGTTTTGCAGGTATTTGGTCATAAGCCAAAGGACAAATACATTTTTGTCTTGATGATTTTGGCAGGTGAAAAGGTAAGGCATCAGCAAAGTTAATACAATTCCTTGAGGGAAACATGATTGTCTGTACCAAAATTCCCAACAGGCCATTTAACCCTGACCCCCTGGAAACAATGTATTAAACATCTTATTAACAGTTGTAACAGCAGACTAAAGGCTTACAAGGCAATGCGAAACATATTAATTATTCAATTCAATTCAATTCAATTTGATTTGTATAGCGCCAATTCATAAC